GTGTTTAGCTTTATTTTTTAGAAGAAACATGCTCCCTGTTGTGCCTTTTATTTTAAATTGACATCCTTTGTAAACTTATGATAATAATTCTAACCAGTGTTGTCAATAGCGGCTATAGCGGCCGCTATAGCGGTATAGCATTGCGGCCAGCTATGGCCGCTATGAAAATTCTCCATAGCATAGCGGGTGAACAATAGCGGCCGCTATGACCGTTAATAGCGGCCGCTATACAAATAGTGGGTAACGGGTATAGCAGCTGCTATTTAAATTTCTTGACTTTTTTTGTTAAATTACCATGTTAACCCCACATTTATAGTTTAAGTTAAAAGCTTTCAAGGTTAATTTTGTCTTTTCAACTTTTCTATTTATAAATTAAAAAAAGAAAACCCTAAAACAACTCATCACATCTGTTCTCCACACTTCTAGCACACTCCTCTCGACTCTCCTCTACTTGTCTACCCTCATGAGTCTCGGTGCTGATATTCTCCCCACTTTGCGCACCATCTAGTCTCCTCTTAGTCCCCATTAGCCATAGCAAGAGTTGAAGAGTGCAAGGCCACTCTCAGTCTCACAGCTCAGATTTTTTGGCTTTGGTTCTGCTTCTGCAAGTGCCGTCTCCCTCTTTTTTCTTTTTTCTTTTTGACACCAGGGCAAAAAGTTGGAATTAGAAATAGAAAGTTAGACACAAAAGCATGTGACAATTATTTTTTTCTTTGCTTGGTTCTGCTTCTGCAATTGTACCTCTGTTTCTTTCTTCTTCTTCTTCTTTTTTTTTTTCTGTATTGAAGCAACTAGCAAGTTTATATTACAATTATACTAGAGGCAAGAGAAATTAGAACTTATACTAAGGGACAAGCAAAAAGAAATGCAACTGCAGCCTTGACCTCTCAAATTCCATCACTAACCTTTAGAACTCCAGCCACAACCTCTAATGTTGATGCAGTTTATGCTACTAGAATTAGTGAAGAGGCTCATACTTTAGATCTTGAAATTTAGAGGAGAAAGAAGAGGAGTTTGAGCCTGGTGGAACAAGTCAGAAAGACAAGGATGATGATGATTTGGTGGCTGAGCAAGAAGAATTAGAAGTCGAAGAGAGTGATGAGGATTATTAGACTCTTGAATGATTTTTTGTTTTAAAGTTCTATTATCTGACTTTTTTCTGAACTGATTTTGTTTGACTTTTGTACTCTTTTAAGTATTTTATTGTCTTGTTTGAGCATTCTAAACTATGATTTTTATTTGTTGAGACTTGAAAATGTTGTTTTTTATAATTTTTATAAACTATTAGGTCATTTTATACCTTTTATTATTGGATTTATCTCTTATTTTAATTATTAGATTTAAATTTTTATTTTTTTTATTAAATGCCCGCTATTTGTCTATAACAGCCGTTACGCTACCCGCTACGCTATCATAGCGGATTTTGGCCTTTCCGCTATTTGCCGCTATCCGCTATTGATATCACTGATTCTAACCTCTTCATGTATTAGTTAGGATGTTTTGACATTTGAGTTATGAACTTTGATTGAAGCTTTACAACTCTTCATAGTAGCATTAATGTGAAAGCCTTGGCGCCACATTTTCCTTTAGCGTGCCTTGGATGTCCAAATTTATAGGTGTTCTAAACTGTGTTTTAGCAAGGTTAAACAATATGACTGTGCATTAGGGAGCTGACTTAGCTGGATCGCCATTCACTTCTAAAGTTAGGTTTCGTCTCAACAACTGGCATGTGACTTGTGGAGGCAAGGACTGCTGTCTCAAGGCAGTTCTTTCCCTGTGCTTGGAGAATTTTAGGAGCTCAAGGTTGAAAATCTGTTTCAAGTTGGAGAATATGGACACATGTGGGCTATCAACAACTGGCATAAAGTAACAAATTGCCTTTTTCTGAAGCCCTTTACAGTCTGAAGATTTTGAAATGGTTGTTGTTTCCAAATTATCTTGGCTTCTTTCATTAAGGGGTTTTCTTATTCATTTATTGGGAACTAGGTAAGATCTGACAATTGTACTATTTTAGCAGGCAGACTATGTGGTGAATTCTATTGTTTTCCCTTTTTTTAAGGCTAGATGATTTTTGTTTAATTCCATTTTGGATCATTGTTTGGATGGATAATGGGACAATAGACTGATGACATTATGCAAGGATGTATGGCAGTTAAGACATGGTAAATAAGATCTATACCTTATGTAGAGAAATGAACTTGAGCAGGATATGCTCTATGCTGAGTAGAATGCTTTGAATGATAATTTTCGTCATTTATCGCTTTTGAAGTATTATATTTGACATATATTGGAGCTGACTGCACCTGTTGTTCTCTTGACTTTTGCAACAGACGTATGTTGTGAGGCCATGTACTGGTGAATTTTACATATATGGTTAGTGATGAAAGAAGGCATACATCTGCTGAGTAATTGAAAACAAATAGATTTGCAGTTCTGCTGAATGGAAAAATTTTTATTTTTCTGTTGAAAGTCAGTTTTGCCATAACCAATGCATCTCTGTTTCCTGTTTTGCAGCGGTAATGCAGTCAGAAGGGTTCAAGTACTTGGAGGAGTGCTGTCCTCCTTTGTTGTCTGATTTGTTGAAGGCCTTTGCATCAGGTGATGAAAACTCAAGTCTGCTATCAGGTAGGAAGAGGAATAGCAGTAGCGTGTATGGGCTAGATCTGACAGCCGAAGGTGAGGCTGCAGAATCAGGAAATCCCAATGGCAGGCGTGTCCGGAGACGTCTCTAGTACACTCAACAGAGTCACAAGCCATAGAGGAGTGGCTTTTTTCTTGATATTGATACACCTTATTAGGGATAACTCATAGTGCGGCTTTTGTCCATTTCTATTTACAAAGTAGCTGGTTTTCTCAAAGGGTTAGACTATGTTCTCTTTTTTCAAGAAAAAATAAAAAAAATTAAAAAAAAAGGAGAGAGAAAGGAAAAAGACTTTGTTCTCTTTGCTGTATATGCTTGCATGATTTTAATTCTTTATTTGACAATTCAGGATAATTACACTAGCTATACATATGTAATGCTCTCATTTCTTTTTATGGTTAAGAGGATTCGGCAGGACTTGGGACATTTTGTGTATATTTTCTTTTCAATACAATACAAAACAACAAGGTAATGCTGAGTGACTTGCAGGTAACAATGGAGAAAAAATACCTAAAAAATGTATGTCAAAATATTTCTAGAAAGGTTGAAAATCTTTTAGTCTTTGTTTGTTTGATTTTACTTGTTAGGAATAATTAATAGATAATCGATAGAACAATTATCAATTAACACTTTGAAATCATCTTTACCCGAATCTTCCCTGATTTGCCAAAACCGCCCTCCTAAATCACAAGATTTACGGTGTAACTTCCCACAGACCACAGCAATGCAAGTTTGCAACCCTGTAAGACAATGAAGGCGTCTTTGACCGTTTTCTCCTTTCTTCTCTCTCAATGGAAGAAATACACAAACGAAGCGAAGCAATGCAATTGTCGATTCCATGTCTATCCATGTAGAATGGAGACCTCTCATATAAACTTCAACATTTATCTGCAACTTTGTCTATGTAAGTTGTAAATTTGGCTTGATTTTGATTATGTAGGCATGGAATTTTCGCATAGATAATTTTTGCATGGTTGCTCCTGGTTAGACTTTGTTATCTTTTTCATTAAAAAGAGGGGAAAAAAAAAAACTTTGTTTTCTTTGCTATTTGCTTGCGTGATTTTATTCCTTTTTGGGACATTAATTCAGGAATTATACGAGAAAGAAAATTGAAAATTAACCAAGATAAATTTTCATCCCTTGGTCTTTGGTTGTGTAAAAAGTACAAACATGATTTTTAAATTATGAATTAGTTTGACAATATGAATATGTAATTGCAATTGTAAGTTTTTTTAATATTTTAACACTCTAAAAATATATAAAATATATTTTATATTTTTAATATTTATTTTATTTTAATTAATATTTTATATATTTTTAAAATAATAAAAATACATAAAAACTAAAAAATAAAGCATCAAAAAAGTGTTGTGAAACGAAGTTTAAACTTGAGTAACCAAAGGAGAAGACTACAAGCTCCTAAACAGGAACAAACCAGCAACCTGTTAGGTACAGGATTTTGCAAAATGCATGCTAGAAACACTTGAACTTAGAGTATGATTACTTGATTTTCTTCTGATAAAGGGAAGAACCCTTGCAGCCAGAATAAGAAGGCGGCTTTTGATGATGATTGAAATCAGGCCAGAGAAAGGCACCCATTGCAAACTCTCTTTTGCATGCCAAGTCACCTTGGGTAGATAACCCATATTCAGCCAGAATCCTGTCGAGCTTCCACTCAGGCATGTTCTGGTAGTCCTCCTTAGTGTACCTAGGATAGTGAAGTGGCATCTGAAAGAACACACCTTCACTCTGTTTCTTGCTCTCCATCACTGTAAAAACTTTATCCATGTCCTTCGAGCTTTGCAGTTGCATGGTTTATATACTCTATCATCCTTGTTTGGTGTCAGCACAGACGCATTGGGTTCACAAGAATTAGATGGTTTACCTTCTCATGGTGATGCACTGATGTGCATACTTACCGTTTCTGATCCCGTGACCATTTCATGTTGCAGAAAACATGTCTTTTTCAGTTCCTCCTCAATTCATATCCATTTAGGGCCCAACATCTAACGTTGGGGTCACTTCCAAAGTTCCAAACAATCATTGGACCTATCGTTGGACATCCACCAACCGCATCATTGATAGGGCCTTCCTACCACCCATTAGCCCCACGATCCCATCAAATTATTAGTGCGGACCCACATGTGCTCCAAATGGAGTTAACTTGTTTTATGGTGTATGAAGCCCAAACGTTTTTTATGGATCCGTACGTATCCAACAACACAAGCGTCACAAATTAGTGGCTCTGTTTAACATCCTCACTGTTTGGGAT